TGTAAATAATCGAGTCTCAGACAGAAAATTCAGTGACTGACATCATGAGCATCGATCCACGCAATTGGGATACGATGACATGCATCAACCAAGTCAGCGAGCCTGAACACCCGATCCCGTTAGTCGCCTCTTACGACAAGCATAGTCGCCTTTTATGTCAAGAATGGGCTGCTGAAGACCTATTCTACCCCGGATCTACACAGGTAACCAGTTATAAGTGCTCGGAGACGATGGATGGTGATTCCTGGTGTACATCCAGGCATTGAAAAAACAATTTGTACATTAACCTGAAAGTACTGAATAATTATATTGAAACTTCAAACACAAAAAGGGGGCACGGGTGGCCCAGTCGTCTAAGGCGCCGCGATTCGCTGTGCAGAGTTGCGTCCCTTGGGCACGCCAGAAACCTATGATTGTGGGTTCGAATCCCGGTTCGCCCCGATTATGTTTCTAGGTTTGTCAGCACCATACCCGTGCTCGTGGCTTTCACCGAAGTGGTAAACGTCTGAGACCTGCATCACTTCGGGCTTTCCTCCCACATTAAGCTGACACGCCGTGATATAACTGGAATACCGTTAAAAGCGGCGTTAAACCCAACTCACTCACTCACACTCAAACACAAAGAGAAAACTACGAAACCTTGAACTGTTTCATTGTTAATTTCTCTTGCTTGACAACGTTACAACGATCTACACGGAAACGTCGCATCGTTATAGAATAAAGAAGTTGGCATCCATAAAATATCTTGTCGTTGCTACTAAAACATTTTCAACCATGAAACTGATGATAATATATAATGCCATTAAGATCAAATAATCACATTGTGAGCGAGTGAGCTTAACGCTACCTTGGGTAGTATTTCAGTTACATAACGGTGTGTCACCTTGACATAGGAGGTCATCTCGTCGTGTTGCAAATATATCGTGCAGAGAAACAATACACCAACTTGCAAATGAAAAAAGAATATCGTATGAGAATACAATGAATAAAACATGACCTTCATTCGTAACTGTAACAAATATTGTAAATACATTTACGTAAGGCAGCATGCCCTTGATGTCAGCGGTCAATGTCAATGTTAACTTTTTCTGTGCTCAAGTTCAAGTGTGTTGATATTGTTTACGTGTGTGATGCGATGACGAGTAGGTAACACGCTATGTGGGTGTAGCGCTTATCGTGTTACGTGCCCACGATACATATGTCACGACATTCATTCAAGGACATATGTGTTAAAGTCATCAGTATGACATTAAGACATGGTAGAGCAATTAGATGGTATATTAACATCCCTTTTATTCTTAATATACCGTGAACTTCGTCTGACAATCAATGGGGACTTCCGACAGATGTACTTTTCATCTAATGCTGATGTTAAACAGGGATATACGTGAATGGTATTTCTATACCGCGAGAGACACGTGAAGATCCGGTGTATAATAGGTCTTCATCAATCGTAAGAGGCGTAAGAGGCGACTGACGGGATCGGGTGGTCAGGCTCGCTGATTTGGTTGATGCATGGCATCGTATTCCTATTGCGTGGATCGATGCTCATGATGTCAATCACTGGATTGTGTCGTCCAGACTCGATTATGTACAGATCGCTGGAATATTGTTGGGGCGGTGTCAAACAACAAACAAACAAACAAACACTTACCCTTGGCTTTGTTAACACACTGACATCATTTGTCTCAAATCCCTAATGCTTTTTTGTATTCAGTCAAGTCTGATTTAAATTAGATAACGATTATTACATTGAAGTGCCAACTATCGATTCAGAAAAAAAATGGATACATAACTCAATAATCATCATTATGATATTTATATGCGCCGGTGATCATTTTAGATGTCAAAAACTACTATTGTAAACTGCCTGTTTTCAGATTGACTTGGTTTATTGTTTTAGTTATTGCTACACTGAAATATCATCATTTAACTAAGGAATGTATTGCAACATGGGTCAAATTTGATAAGTTATAAGGTTAAACTGTGATATTTAAAGCGTAGCACAGCAATACTTCTGCCATAAGGTTACACTGTGATAAGTTTCTGTCAATATATGAAACGTTGCATGGCATCGTATTCCAATTGCGTGGATCGATGCTCATGATGTCAATCACTGGATTTTGTGGTCCAGACTCGATTATTAACAGACCGCCGTCATATAGCTGGAATATTGCTGAGTGCGGCGTTAAACAGCAAAGAAACAAACAAACGAAACAAACCTCCGCGAGATACCATTTCAATTCCTCACCCTGAATTCGACTACAGTCTTTAGGCATGTCCATGTCATCCAAACTGCTTTACCTTCCACGTTATGTCACTTTTTCACACGGCTACCCCGTGCAATTGACACTGATAATATAGTAAACTCAACATATGACCGCTAGAATATATAGCGCGGAGAGCCATCCATTGAATTTATGTTTAACACCAGACTTGGTTGTCATCAACACATATCCCTCTAAAAACAATCTCACGTCAAACACAAAACCAGGTCCTGACTTCTTTGAAAGATAACCTCCAAATAATTATCCCGGAAAGAAAGAAAGATATGTAAAACAAAGTCAACATTGGAGTGAAAATTATATGAATAGGTCCCTGAAAATCAGTGATGACACCAGATGTTCGCGAAAAGGGTAAGCATGCTTGAGGCATTCTGGGGAGTTGTGTTTATGGTCCGAGACTCCAAGTAACCTAGAATAGGGGATAAAGGGAAGGGGCATTGATTACGTTCAAAGTGAGGACGAGCACTGACAACGTTCATTGCCAGGTGCGGGCTGGAACTTACAACATGCTTATTTAGGTGGCGCCCAGCATTGACATAATGTTGGCTGGCATGTGTAGTCAGGTCCCGTTTTCATTGTCATCTTGTAGTGTCGGGTTGGCACTAACATTGACATCATGCGGAAGTAGTTGACCACTTGTATTGACGGGCGAGGGAAATGGTCTTGTACTGACGGGTTAGGGAAATAGTTGACCACTTGTATGACGGGCGAAGGAAATAGTTGACCACTTGTATTGACGGGCGAGGGATATAGTTGACCACTTGTATTGACGGGCGAGGGAAATAGTTGACCACTTGTATTGACGGGCGAGGGATATAGTTGACCACTTGTATTGACGGGCGAGGGAAATAGTTGACCACTTGTATTGACGGGCGTGAGAAATAGTTGACCACTTATATTGACGGGCGAGAGAAATAGTTGACCACTTGTATTGACGGGCGAGAGAAATAGATGACCACTTGTATAACGGTCGAGAGAAATAGTTGGCCACTTGTATAACGGGCGAGAGAAATAGTTGACCACTTGTATTGACGGGCGAGGGAAATAGCTGACCACTGATACAAAAACGTGACTCTCGCACACGCGTTGTATAAGTTTGTTGAAAACTGAAGTTTAATAATTAACTGATACTATTGTTTGAAAATATACACCCATGTTTCCAACGGACAAAGTTAAATGTCAAGGGCAGACTGCCATTGGCGACATGTACAATGTCACGTGCGTCCTCGAACTGACAACGTGTTTTCTCAGATGGAGCCTTGCATTGATATTATCAAAGAGAGAAAGAGAAAAATATTCATGTCTAGCGGGTATACATTTTAAAACCATCATAAAAACACATCACGTGGTTATACGACGCCCGGCCATCTAGGGCCTATTAGACACCAGTTACCGATAAACGGTCAATAATAAAAAAAAGCACCAATAGTGCTACAATTGTACAAATACCCCGTGTACAAAGAGAGAGTAAAGGCAGGGGGTGCTAGCTACACAAAGAGCGGTAGTGAACATTATTGATTAGAGAGTCTCAATTAAACATATTGTTAATCAGTGGGGCTACTGGGGTAGCAAATCCTCGCACTACATTAGATATTTCATGTGGTCTGTAGGTGACCAAGATCTGAATATTTTATTGTCTTTGTCAGGGGTCGGTTTGAATTGACAACGTTCATACTCAGGTGTTGGTTAGCATAATGATCATGCATAGTCAGGTGTCGGTTGCATTGCCATCATTCATTGTCATCTTGCATTGTCATCTTGCATTGTCATCATGCATTGTCATCATGCATTGTCATCTTGCATTGTCATCATAAATTGCCATCTTGCATTGTCATCATGCATTGTCATCTTGCATTGTCATCTTGCATTGTCATCATGCATTGTCATCTTGCATTGTCACCATACATTGTCATCATGCATTGTCATCTTGCATTGTCATCTTGCATTGTCATCATGCATTGTCATCATGCATTGTCATCTTGCATTGTCATCTTGCATTGTCATGATCATTGTCATCCTGTATTGTCACCATACATTGTCATCATGCATTGTCATCTTGTATTGTCATCATGCATTGTCATCATGTATTATCATCATGCATTGTCATCTTGCATTGTCATCTTGCATTGTCATCATGTATTATCATCATGCATTGTCATCTTGCATTGTCATCTTGCATTGTCATCATGTATTATCATCATGCATTGTCATCTTGCATTGTCAACATGCATTGTCATCTGTAGGTGACCAAGATCTGATTCTTTATTCTCACTGCCAGCCGCTGGTTTGAATTGACAACGTACATACTTAGGTGTTGGCTACCATAATTATCATGCATAGTCAGGTGTCGGTTGATATCATGCATTGTCATCTTGCATTGTCACCTTGCATTGTCATCTTGCATTGTTATCATGCATTGTCATCTTGCATTGTCATCTTGCATTGTCATCTTGCATTGTCATCTTGCATTGTCATCTTGCATTGCCATCTTGCATTGTCATCTTGCATTGTTATCATGCTTTGTCATCTTGCATTGTCATCTTGCATTGTCATCTTGCATTGTCATCTTGCATTGTCATCTTGCATTGTCATCATGTATTATCATCATGCATTGTCATCTTGCATTGTCACATTGGCCAGTCCGGAGCCAAGCGCTGTTTACTTTGCAGCATGTTATGGAAACGTGAAGCGAAACGTGAATGTTGACCACGTATACTAACGGGCCAGGTGCTGATGATGTGTATTGACGGGCGGGGTGCTGATGATGTGTATTGACGGGCGGGGTGCTGATGATGTGTATTGACGGGCGGGCTGCTGATGATGTGTACTGACGGGCGAGGTGCTGATGATGTGTACTGACGGGCAGGGTGCTGATGATGTGTACTGACGGGCGAGGTGCTGATGATGTGTATTGACGGGCGAGGTGCTGATGATGTGTACTGACGGGCGGGGTGCTGATGATGTGTATTGACGGGCCATGTGCTGATGATGTGTACTGACGGGCGGGGTGCTGATGATGTGTACTGACGGGCCAGGTGCTGATGATGTGTATTGACGGGCGGGGTGCTGATGATGTGTATTGACGGGCGAGGTGCTGATGATGTGTATTGACGGGCCAGGTGCTGATGATGTGTATTGACGGGCCAGGTGCTGATGATGTGTATTGACGGGCGAGGTGCTGATGATGTGTATTGACGGGCGGGGTGCTGATGATGTGTATTGACGGGCGGGGTGCTGATGATGTGTATTGACGGGCGGGGTGCTGATGATGTGTATTGACGGGCGGGGTGCTGATGATGTGTATTGACGGGCGAGGTGCTGATGATGTGTATTGACGGGCGGGGTGCTGATGATGTGTATTGACGGGCGAGGTGCTGGTGATGTGTATTGACGGGCCAGGTGCTGATGATGTGTATTGACGGGCGAGGTGCTGATGATGTGTATTGACGGGCCAGGTGCTGATGATGTGTATTGACGGGCCAGGTGCTGATGATGTGTACTGACGGGCGAGGTGCTGATGATGTGTATTGACGGGCCAGGTGCTGATGATGTGTATTGACGGGCGAGGTGCTGATGATGTGTATTGACGGGCCAGGTGCTGATGATGTGTACTGACGGGCGAGGTGCTGATGATGTGTATTGACGGGCCAGGTGCTGATGATGTGTACTGACGGGCGAGGTGCTGATGATGTGTATTGACGGGCCAGGTGCTGATGATGTGTATTGACGGGCGAGGTGCTGATGATGTGTATTGACGGGCCAGGTGCTGATGATGTGTATTGACGGGCCAGGTGCTGATGATGTGTACTGACGGGCGAGGTGCTGATGATGTGTATTGACGGGCCAGGTGCTGATGATGTGTATTGACGGGCGGGGTGCTGATGATGTGTACTGACGGGCCAGGTGCTGATGATGTGTATTGACGGGCCAGGTGCTGATGATGTGTATTGACGGGCGGGGTGCTGATGATGTGTACTGACGGGCGGGGTGCTGATGATGTGTATTGACGGGCGGGGTGCTGATGATGTGTATTGACGGGCGGGGTGCTGATGATGTGTATTGACGGGCGAGGTGCTGATGATGTGTATTGACGGGCGGGGTGCTGATGGTGTGTATTGACGGGCGGGGTGCTGATGGTGTGTATTGACGGGCGGGGTGCTGATGATGTGTATTGACGGGCGAGGTGCTGATGATGTGTATTGACGGGCGAGGTGCTGATGATGTGTATTGACGGGCGGGGTGCTGGTGATGTGTACTGACGGGCGGGGTGCTGATGATGTGTACTGACGGGCCAGGTGCTGATGATGTGTACTGACGGGCCAGGTGCTGATGATGTGTATTGACGGGCCAGGTGCTGATGATGTGTACTGACGGGCCAGGTGCTGATGATGTGTACTGACGGGCCAGGTGCTGATGATGTGTATTGACGGGCCAGGTGCTGATGATGTGTATTGACGGGCCAGGTGCTGATGATGTGTATTGACGGGCGGGGTGCTGGTGATGTGTATTGACGGGCGGGGTGCTGATGATGTGTATTGACGGGCCAGGTGCTGATGATGTGTATTGACGGGCGAGGTGCTGATGATGTGTATTGACGGGCCAGGTGCTGATGATGTGTACTGACGGGCGAGGTGCTGATGATGTGTATTGACGGGCGGGGTGCTGATGATGTGTATTGACGGGCCAGGTGCTGATGATGTGTACTGACGGGCGGGGTGCTGATGATGTGTACTGACGGGCGAGGTGCTGATGATGTGTATTGACGGGCGGGGTGCTGATGATGTGTATTGACGGGCCAGGTGCTGATGATGTGTACTGACGGGCGAGGTGCTGATGATGTGTACTGACGGGCGAGGTGCTGATGATGTGTATTGACGGGCGAGGTGCTGATGATGTGTATTGACGGTCGGGGTGCTGATGATGTGTGAACTGACCAGCTTCTCTTTGAGACGCATCAGCCTTCATTTTGACCCCCTGTAGACTTTCTTCCTGGGTGGGGGAGCAGCATCAAAGTCTACCTGTTTCAGCTTGGCACCTTCCGACTTCTCAATGCCTTGAAGCAAGTCCACAATTTTGTACAGGTTGGGATGCAGATGTTGAAGACGTTTGTTGACACTGGCAACACGTACCTTCCATGTAGACCATATCAGCTTCAGCAAGAAACCTCAGCTGGCTGCTCATCAGGATCTTGTCGTCTTCGCCATCTGCCATTTTCTGCCATCCCTGGTAATGGTCCACAGCCCCTCAAGGTGAACATCAGGCATGAATGTGCAAACATATTTTTGAACAATTCCATTTTAATATATTTACGTGGTGGACGCCATCTTGTCCGAAACTGTAGACTTGCCCGTATGTTTATACGGGCGTGGACAGATAGACCTCTTATCGGATTATGTTTGTTGTTCATGTCCTAGTAAACCACGAAAACTCCATCCCATGGAAGGGAAGTAAATATTTCAGACTAATAAACTTCTTCTTTCGACTTTTGCAGATCATTAATAAAAACTGTAAACGAAAAGGGCCGTTTTCGCCATTTTGGGGGTCGATGTTCACAACCATCGGTCCGTTTTGGCTCAGTGCCGTCTTAGCCAGCACCAGAGTGCATGAATATCATGAACTTTATAACGCCCGATTATGATCTTGCATGGTATACGTGATATATACTTCACTTAAGGATTGACTGTGTATTTTTGTCGGTTCATTGAGGTATGAATCGAAAAACCGACGTGCAAACTTTTGTAAGAATCCGGTACGCGGATTCATACAGTTTGCACATCGGCTTTTCGATTCATACCTCAATGAACCGAAAAAAATATACAGTCAATGCTTATAATTAAATTCGACAACGTAAACCATGTTTTATCTACAATAGTTTAACCAAAAACAGTTGCATATATCAAAACAGAAAAAAATGACGACATTGATAAACATTCCAGGTGTAGGAATACATACAGTGGTGTGACATGAATCAGGTGATCGTTTAATTTATGCACATAACTTGACACGCCTACACAGTCAGTAGCCAATCAACGGAGAGTGGGATTAAAACAATGTTCATTGGACCTGTCAATTAAGGCAAGAGGCGAAAAGAACTGCAACAGTCAAACTGTAACGAACCGGAAGAAATATGTCCGAGAGAAGGCGGCTGTTTCAAATAACATGGTCATTTACCGCGTGCCTCAAACATTACTTCCCTGATTATGGTAAAACACAGTTGGAGAAATGCTAGTTAGAAATGAAACCCGAAGACATGTAAGTTGAACCGAGGCGAGCGGGAAAAATACAGGCGAGCGAGCCTGCACGTTTGCTGTTTCATTCATTCTCGGCCTTCGGTTTCAAAGGGTAGTTTAGACAATGAATATGCATGAAAGTAGCTAAATGTCCTGTGCATGACGATACACGTGAGCAGAAAGGGAATTCCCTCGACTGTAATATTGGGATTCCCCGACATTCCGCAATAATAAAAGTAGTGCGCCGCGGTGGGCGTGGCTTAATTTTTTACATTCATTGGGAAATGAATGCAATAAACACGTGACCAATTCAGCTAATCAGAATGCAGGAATTTCCATAAACACAACGGAAATTTAATTATAAGGAGTTGACATCAATGTTTTACTCGGACTAATTCCACACTTGACATCAACACGTTTCCTGAATGTACTCCTCCTTCGTGAGGCCTTGCCCATAGCCAGGGAATATATTAGCTTTAATAACAGCATAATCAGCTGATATTATAAGGAAAAAGCTGTACGTTTTTTCGTAATCATTTGCCAACTTCTGTAATTCAAATCAAACAGTTAGCGGATATTATAATTTAAAACTAATACTATACACTCATGTTTCTCATGTCAGAGGCAAAAACGCTTTAAAAACGTATAAAAAGGGACGGCATTCTTCCAACGGGCAAAGAATGCCTTAGATTATGTTGCAGTTGTTGCAAGGCAAAACATATCGGGTACAAGGTTATGACAGAAGATACACACATGAGTGGGTACCCGGTAGGATGAGATGGTAATGTGGCTGTTAACCTTGTATACTCCCCAGGGAGCGGAGAATGTAAATCAAGTGCTCACTGATCCATTAACCGGGGTAATAATACTGAGCGTTATGAGCATCCACTTGGTGAATGGAATCTGGCGCATATAAATGCAAACGTACATACAAAAATATCACAATAAATTAAACTGAAAACAATATGCTAAAATGTTCTAAAACAAATTAAAATACATTACAAAACAGTTACCTATTTTAAGTTTTCCTACGTTTAAATAGAATAGAATAGCAGGTCCTGGCAGTATACAATATAAGATCTGGGTTTAAAAATTCCAATAACATTATCAAGGGACATCAACCATCGCCGTTTTTTTAATTCAATTCACAATAAATGTGGGAAATATTAAGAATATTTCAAGAATTACAAACAGAGAATCATATGCTCTTGGTTTCCTGTCATTGTCTAGCACTATAAACAAGCAAAGTATGTTTATTGGTTTTTATCGCTTTGTCATATTCACTAGTACTACAAACAAGCGAATTATTTGGACTTGGTTTTATGTTTTTGCCATGTTCACAAGTACTCCAACAAGCTAATTATTTGCACTTGGTTTTATGTTTTTGCCATGTTCACAAGTACTCCAACAAGCTAATTATTTGCACTTGGTTTTATGTCTTTGCCACATTGCTGTCATTATTTTGTCAATAACGCTTTTACCAGAACATAATCAAGAACTATGCTGTTTCTCCAAACAGCAATCGGACTCTTAAATACAACTATTCCGACATTTAAAAACACTTCTTCAGTTCATGAAGAAATGATGAAATTAGGCTCACTGCTATCTCATTACTCATTTGCCATTTCGCAAAATCCTGGCGTCATCACCGATTTTCAGTGATCCATTCATATAATTGTATCGTTATTGTGTCCTTTAAGCCTAATGGAATCTGTCTAGTCGGATAACCGAGACTGGGTATTCCCTTACATGGACGTTTTATATTTAAGGACAACCGTTTTTCTATATAAGAACATCAACAAGGTCACCTTCAGTTGACAGCGTCGTTTCCCCCTTGATCAGCAGCACGCATGATTCTGTACTCAAAGACGCTTCCAGGACAATAAGACATCATTTCAGTGGGCAGAAAGTGGATAAGCGGTATGAAGAAGAAGTCGCCAGTAGATACCTTCATTACATTACATTTTGAACAGAAATGGCTGAGTTATCGTGAGTGATTGAGTGAGTATGGTTTTAAGCCGCCTTTTGCAATATTCCAGCAATATCACGGCGGGGGACACCGGAAAATGGGTTTCACACATTGTGTGGGGAATCGAACCCGGGTCTTCGGCGTGACGAGCCAACGCTTTAACCACGAGGCTACCCGACCGCCCCGGTGTTATGTCCATAAACAGGTTTTTCAATATGGTTGCTGTGGCGGCCATATTTAAAATTGGATTCGAAATGGGATGCAGGGAACAGGTGTGTGAAGTTCAATTTCTTTGGATCAGTTGTTTCTTAGGAGAAGATGTTAACGACACGCTGACACGCACGACTGACACATAGGCCAATGGACTAGCTCTTTTGACTTTTAGTCAGGTCAACAAAAATTATGAAATATTTCTACTTCGCACTCACTGTAATAGTTCCTTGGTATTTATGACCAAAGCAATCGGTATCCACATTTTACGTAAAACCCATGTTAGCTAAAATGATTGCGGAAAATTCGAAGAATCAGATGTATCACGCAGCAATCCTGTTTAATTAACGACCTTGCAAAATATCCACAAATATAAGTTTGAACACGTGTTAATATCTATTTCGCCAGAAAAAAACTTTTCTGCTTAGTCAGTGATATTAGATAGTACAAGTAACTCGCAACCAGAGACACTCTGCTGCTCAGAGTGGCTGCCCCATTAGTCCTTCACATATTCACATTCGCCAACAGTTTATAGCCGGATTGTTGTAGACATGGTATAGGATGCAACAGTCAGACAATAGGAACATCATCCCGAGGCAACGATTACTTGATATGTGTCTCTGTATATCGTATTGATTTGTTTCAAGTAACATAATACGTGAACAAATAAAGTTCCACATTATCAAATTCAAATTCATATTCACCTTATTCAGAAGTCCAAGCCATCTGACCCATAGTACATTACACACATCTAACATTTATAGATGCATCTTAATTTCTCCTTTGGTACAAATAACTTTGTAAAAAAAATTGGCAACTTAAGCAATTTTTGTGAATTTGAAGATGTACATAAGTTTGCTGCAGCCAATATAGAATTAGAATTAGCTGTTTATTCTTGCAAGTACAAATTACGTTCTACTGCATAACACGGGCAATAAAATAATACATGAGATTTTTCACAAGACTTCGGGATCATATAACTCACATTTATCTTTACGGAAGTTTTGTATACCAAGAAAATTCATACATGATTTAAATTTTAACAAAGCTTTTTTATAACATACAGAGTTAATATCTGTGGTGGACACCAGAAATGGGCTTCACACATTGTGCCCATTTGGGGAATCGAACCCGGGTCTTCGTCGTGACGAGCCAACGGTTTAACCACGAGGCTACCCCACCGCCCTGATGAGTCTTGGGAGCCATCTTGGATAGGGAAGTAGTGGATTTTACACCTTGAGCTGCCAACTCCACGTTCTGCAACACGTCCCTATATTAAACAACATGGAGAAGAGGACTGTTGTTGGTTCCTGAAATGTGATATATTGGGCATTTAGGGAAGCTTATTTTTGTCTGAGAACGTTACTTACGTTAAAAGCATCAAGTCTCTTGTTTGCAAATTTCAAATTCAGGAGGTGAGGTTAAATGGGGTTTAACGTCGCGTCCAAGATTATTGCACTTATATAGCGACGTGCATGTACGTGTGTGTGTTTGTGTGGCTGCTTGTACTAGTCCGGACTGATGCCGATTTATAGTGCTAGCTCACTGAGATACCA